AGCTCTGTCAGCTGAGAATCTGATCCAGGAGCTGTAACAGTCAGTTAGAAATGCATCTGTGTATAGCTTCTTCTTTCCCTTGTACATCTTTCACTTTTACTTCGGACCAGTGCTGGGAAAGAAGTAAAAAAAATATTGTGATCATATTTTTATGAAGGCTGGATAAAACTACATTGTGACTGGAAAACAGTTTAGTGCCAGGGAGGGTTTAAGGTGATCAGACTACGCAAAGTTCAAAAAACTCTCACAATTGCAATTGTACTGTAAGACGTGTACATCACCCCTTTTACAAAGACTGTATGCTCTTCTCAACTTTCATATATTTATTGTTACATCAAACCCTTTCATGAAACAAGGAAGGATTGTTTGTCCAGTTTGGTCAAACAGGACACAACAGGGTTAGTGGCTGGCAAAAGGCTACGCAGAAAACATATATCAGGAGAGCGCGGGTCATTCTCATGCTGGGCTAATGCCACAGTCCCTGGACCACTTCTGCCTGCCCAGTTCACCATCTGTTATTTAATTAATACAGGCTCTACTAGTAATCTTTGGAGAGTCAGTTATTTATACCCCAGATTAACCAACACAAAAAAGTAGAAATGTCTGCCTCGTGAGCTGGCAAATGGAGGGTGCTAAATAAAAGCAGTGGTTACTGATTTAAAATATTCTATCTGTTACTGTGTCATTAACAGGAAACCAGTCCAATTACTAGGATGGTTCAAAGATCTTTCCTTTGGCTCCACCAAGACTGCTCAATGCCCTGCTCGTATTTTGTGTCATGTAAGATAGAGGCAGTCAAGTAAGCAATGCTGCATCTTCTTCATCTGTCCTCACGAAGCTGGGACCAAGTCTCAGGGTCTGAATGAGGGCTACTGTTGACCTCAGTGGGTGTTCAGTTCTGCCTAGAGACACTGACTTTCATTATAAATCGCTAACAAAATGTTAAGGAAAATTAAAGAAGTTAATGCTAAGGTCTTGGATAAAAGCTTTGTAGGAATCATCCCAAATGACAATATAAAAATATTTGTGGAGAAAAGCAAAAGGCAAAACCTTAGGCAGAGAGAAGCATTCCACAGAAGCAGACAGTTGTACTTCCTTGTGTTTGTGTTAAACTTAACCTTGAGAGATTTTGACACTATAATGGAAATACACATCTAGGGTCCCTCCAAAACTGAAGGCTACCTTTTAACTACAGATATTAAGTCCTTTAAGATGTAGTATATACTAACAATGATGTTACAAGCAGTTACTAGAAAGATTTGGTTCCTTTTCAGTGTCTATGACCATGCAGCTTGTAAAGACACCAGTGGAAGAAGAGGGAGAATCTGACCACTTCTTGTAATTTTATTACCTTAATATAGTGAGATAAGGGACAGAAAAAGTATGTCTTTTTCTGAGTGATTCTTCTTTTATTCAAAATCCATGAGGGATTGCCTTAAAAATACATGATGCTATCAAGTTCAGCAAGCTGCATGATTTATTAAACCAGGGTCACCACTTCTTTCTGTCAGTTATACATGATAAGTTATTGTAAGCACCTGTCATTCGTTATGTATTTATTTCTTGGAGGTTAGAGGTGGTCTTTTAGAAGACTTTCACACATGGGTATTAGGAACCAGCACCCAAAAATTGACTTTCAGCTAGCCAGTGAAAGAAATGTTTCGGGCCACATTATCAGTTGATAGAAATCCTTGTAGCTTCATGTTTCTGATTTACCTCAGCCCTGAAAATCTGGCCTATTATCAGTGACCTCGTACCTGACCATTTTTTGGTGCAGTTTTGCTCTGGCATGGTGTGGTGATGCTGAGACACTTTCCCAGAAAAATACAAAATGTTATACACCATCTCGTGTCAGGTATTCTGTACCGCAAATTGGTGGAACAAAGCATGTTATTTCCACTTAGTGGGAAGAAACCAACATTGTTATTTTTACTGCTCTAGTGTCAGGGCTTTTTATTTCCACTGCACTGATTGTACAGGCTCTCACAACCAATAAGCCAGCATCCACCCTGCTGAAAAAAAGCAAAAAGCTCCAACTTGGCTGGTCTGAAAAACACATTAGAGCACACAAAAGAAAACTCACTCCAGGCTGCAGCTTGCATGGAAATGTCTATTCTCCCCACAGCAGCAGGGAAATTTGACTAAAATTTACATTTTTCTGACACATCAGCAACCTCTGGATTGTTTCCGATTCTCCAGATGATGCAAGCAGAAAAAAAACAAAACAACAAACCAAGGGTGTGTACAGATTCCATGCTAACTTCAAAGGGGGAGAAGGAATCATACTACTTGCTTATGGCTGTGTAAAATACATGCAGTTCAGGTTGAAAGCTTAGGGATACCCGTGGTCAGATACAAAGGACCCAGACACACCCTATCAAACAACAACAACAACAACAACAACAAGTCTTATCTTTCTGCAGCAGTGTAAGTTTTAAGATAATTTCCTCTAAATAAAGAACAAAGTATGACTTCCTCTGAAAGTTACCTGCAAAGAAAAGCAGCTCTAGGCTGAAGTTGGGGCTCCCTGGAAAACTCTCTGTCATGGAGCTGACATGAACCAGTGCACTGTGAACACTGACAATGCCCCATTCCCAGCCTGCTCTTCCTACTTGTTAACCCAAAGTGCCCTCTGTCCCAGCCCTCCAAGCAGCCTCCTCTCACAGCACAGATTGGTGCTGTGACCGCCTTCAGCTTCCAACAACAGGCTTTCTGTTTCAGGGCATGTGAACCTGGGCCAGGAAAAGATGGATCAGGTTTTATGAGGACCGTGGGCTACAGAGTCATTGCCCCTGAACATATAGAAAGTTGGACTCTCAGTTCTGTGCAAATCTACATAAATTCATGGAAGCAAATGGAAAAAAAATTAGTTTGTTTTAGCTGAATGTACAGTCTGTAGATGTGGGGGTTACACAAGATTTATTTGCTGTGGTGAGAAACAAAAGTTCTAGGGTTTATTGCTTTTCAGTGGAAAAATAGGTCTCTATTATCGATTAAACTAAGCCTCACATTTATATGGCTTTATTAACACCTGATGTATTTTAAAATGAGGGAAACTTCAAGTGGGAAACTAAAAGATAGAAGTTGTTTTCTGTTAAAAATAACAATTCTGTTATTTGTAAATGTAATGATCTCCTCAGCTTGATAAAGCAGGACAAAACGTGGGCAGTAGTATGAAAATGACCTCTTTGACAGAGATTATCACCTTTCACTTTGCAATATGTATGCAAATGGTCTTTACAGCACTGTCTTTTCATGATGCTGTACTTACTCTGCACTGTGACTTGAGAGATCACAATATAAGAATATGATACAGAAAATGTTGTACAGCATAGCAATGTTAAGAAAATAAATTTGCTTCAGAGAGGATTTTACCGAGAATTATTTATTTCAAGTCACCACTGCCTTGTGTCGGAGAAGATCTCAGGCCAGGATGGACTATCACATCTGGATTTGTAGCAGCTAGCAGAAGCAGTACCACAGGGCAGGAAAACCCTCAGCACCCTCAAGCTGGAAGCACAGCAAGGCAGAGCTGTGTGTGCAGTGCCTGCCTGGGCACTTGGCTCCGCACAGTCTCTCTGGCACCGGCTGAGGTCACTGTGGCTCTGCGCCTCCCGCTGTTTTCAGAGCAGCTTTTTGCTACTGCAAGAAAGAAATCAGCAACTGATTTTTTAATTTTTTTTTTTTTTTTTTTTCCCCAGCACATATAGTTTATAAAAATGGGGACTAACTGATGGCTGTAATTTTGATGGAGATTTACCTGTAGGCATAGACAGCAATCAAACCCACACTATTAACAGAAGGCTGATTGAGTTAATGAATATCATTGTCAACTCTACAAACTGATTCAGTCTGTCTAACAATCTATCAGTTTGTCTTTCCTCTTGCAGTTTGTCCCCATTTATATCTTACTGTATGGTGAATACCTGAAATCCCCATAAATATAAAATTGTTTGAGGAAAGACTGACAGATATCTGGGAAAGAAGAAGGGATCTGCTATACACAGTAACTGATTTTGTCATTGCTCAATTAAACAGAGTAAATTTGGGCAAGGTAAATTTTGGGCTAGGGTAATGTTTCCCCTTGTCTTTATTGTACAGCTAGTCTGGACCAAATTCAGGTCTTCTACTCACTGGACTAAGTCTGCAAATGACACATCCTTGAATGACTTACAGTCTGATGGATTACCCAGTCTACAGGAAGCGTTGCATATGGATCCTGAAGACCGATGCTCCAAAACAACAATCACATCTTCTGGAGAGCAGGGAAGACAGAATGATATGGGAGAAAACATAAAAAATCCCTTCTGTGGGTCAGAACATCAAGCTTGGAAGCCTGCAACTTGCCAGCCTAAACTGACTCTGAAAGCCCACTATCGGATCTGAAAAACTTTCCCTATAGGAAACCCCAAGGGCTTGCAAGGAAAGATACTCCATCCTCCTCATCAGTCATGCTCAAAGTTCAGAGAGAAGGAAGTGAGGTGTGTTAGCAGATGAGAACTACTGAATAGTCAGAAAAGCACAATTTACATCTCAGGCCAGGGACAAAACAAATTCAGAAGAGCTCTCTCCATATCACATTGCCCTTCTAGGAGCAGTTACTATACATGACTTTTTCAGATGTGTCAGAAAAAAGTTTGCATTCAACTTTTGAAGGAGACATGTATATTCTGCCTTCCTGCCAGAGACTGACACCATCACAAAGAGGTGAAGGACACCATAGAGCAAGAGAATTGCCTGCCTTTTCCCTGGGGTCATATACAAGCAGAGGGGGAAAAAATAGAGCACAGTGCATGTCTGTAAATAACATTTTAAAGAAATGTGACATTGAAATAATAATTCATACTTTTTTGAATGGAAAGAACCCCTCTTGCTTGCTGGGAAGTCACTTACGAATGCTACCAGTGAAAGCAAGTAGCAAGAAACCATGGAGAGGATCAGAAGTACACTCTGGGGGCAAGAGCTGCTCTTTTTGAAGCAAAGCAACAGATGTTCCTTACCTGCTCCAGGAGAATCATAGACTCATAGAACGGCATGTGCTGGAAGGAATCTTAAAGATCATCTAATTCCAACCCCCTTGCTGTGGGCAGGGACAACTCCCACTAGGCCAGGTTGCTCAAAGCCCCCTCCAACCTGGCCCACTTGAATGTTTCCAGGGAGGGGGCATCCACAACTTCCCTTGGCAACCTGTTTCAGATCAGATGGAATCAGATTTGCCACAGCTGTGTTTGTCTGTCTGCAAGCAAGGCTCTTTGGCCACTAATGGTGGGGACAGAGGCAAGTGTGGGTGGTCCATGGCTGCATTTTAATAGCTGAAATTAGGCTGTGGTAGGGGTCTCCTCTGGCTGAGCTCATGGAAGAAACACAAGTATATTTGCAGTATGTCTAGCCTATGGATGCACTGTGAGTGATGTATTGCCTCACTGGTGGGCAAAAGTCCACATACTTGTATAATTAAAAACAAGAGTTGTAACTAAGGTGACATGTGAAGTCTCCTAATAATGAGGTGACCAGCTCTTCTGAAGACCAATCTCCTATAGCTCTATGTAGGTAATGCTATGTTTTGCCATCTTCCCTTGATCTGCCTGTCTTTTTCAACACATGCATGATAATACAATATCTATTTGCATTCTGACATGAGTCTGTGTTCTTAAAGCCTTGCATACAGCAGATGAAGAAAGATTTATGACCCATTTGCTCATATTTCAGCTAGTCCTTAATCAGCTCTTGCATATTATTAATTTTATTGAATAGAAGAGTATTTTGCATGTCCTGTCATGCAACTCTCCAAGCCTTTTTCCAGCATAAAGAATCCTCCCTCTCCCAAATTTTCCTATGCTGTGTCACCATGTGTGTGTCATGGCTAATAATTGAATAATACACACTGTCTGTACAACTGCAGGTTTATCCTCAAGTTAGTTGGATGAGACAAGGGGTTCCAGAGCCTACACTGTCACTGAATACACTCCAAATTTAACATGAAGCTTAATCAATAGAAGGAACAGCAAAAAATTTGTCTCATTCTGCTTTCTGAATGCTGTAGAAATGCCTGAGCTGTTTCTCAAGGGATACCTTTGTAATTTATTGAGCACTTTGTGCTTCACAGGATTTCCTATTACAATGTCACAACTTAAATTTGCCTTGCCCAGACCCTCTTGAAATGCTTAACCACCTGATGGAAATGAAAGTGTCATTTAGTGCCTGCATGTAGATAGTATGTAAATCAACAGTGTCTCCAATCTGTTAGCACATGCAAACCTTAAAAGTCCCTGAAAACAAAAAAATACAATTAAAAAAGAAGGTGAGGAACCTCGATTCTAAGGACAGAGTGCAACTGCTTGTTAGGAACTTGGTGAGTGAGTCAATATCTCTTGCTCAAAAAGGAAATGTTATCTAAAAGTTGAATTAACTGAGTAAGCCAAGTAATTGAAGTCTTAATCACAACCCATAAAAATAACAGGATTGTTTACTTTTTATTTTTATGTATATAAAGACTGATAGACATTTTGTAAAGGAGGTGAGAGGAAAGCAGGGATTTTATGTACAAAATTCAAGTCCTGTCTTGCCCGTCTTCTTGTGAGAACTGAATAAACTATTTCAATTATAATACTTGAAGAGTCATGAGCAAAAATTTCAAGTGTTTAGGAGAGAAGGGGTTTGTAGCCCTGACTGTATTTTATCAGTTTGTTTAATTTTAGTCACAAAAAAAGCATTTGAAAAGAGGACGTTTTCATTTAAAATTCAACATTCACAATACTTACATTTTGGTATGAAAGCTGCATGAGATGAGTGGTATCTTGGCAGATATCCCAGGGGCTTAAGTGGGGCATTATTTTACCCATTATTTTTAAAGCAAACAAGGATAGGGGGGGAAAAACAAACAGAAGAAAAGGATTCACATTTTTTCATTGTAATAAAGAAATCAAAAGAACAGCAGCTTAACTTAAAGAAAAAAAATAATTGGCAGATCAACTTTCACAGAAGGGATTTTGACAGACCACTGGGTCAGGCTTGTTGTCTGAAAATATCTGTCCTAAATATAACTCAGAAAGAAAAGGGGTTTTGGGGTGGTGGTGGTAATTGTTTTTGTGACTCAGTAATTTGACAGACACTCAGCCTTTCATTTTACCTGAAGGTTTTATTAAAATTTACAATCTGAAATAGTAGCTCAAATTCTGACCTGTATATATTACCATGACAAACAGTTTCTCATTGGAAATGGCAATAACCTTTCCTCTTACTTTTAATACTTATTTAGTGATTTTTACAGAACACCAGTAACACCATTATCTCAGCATTAACAGAATGAATATAAACTGTAAATTCTCTTCTTTTAGACATTTAAACCTTTGCTGGATCAAATGCTATCAAATGTGATGCTAATTAAGGAATAATCCTGCACAACAGTAAAAGATATTAGGTCTTTATAAGTAAAAGGAATTTCTTAATTTCTAATATTTTTAAATCTCTGGTAGGCATAGGATAATGTTCTTAATTTGTTATTTTTTAGTACAAGATCAAAGCACATTATAAATTAACCTTGATTTGAACAATAGATTTTCTTCACATTCCCTAGGCCTGGGGTCTTTTTGAAATTATCAGTAACCTTTTGGTGGGTGTGTAAAGCAATATGCACTCTCTGTGGCCACAAAAAAAGAAGAAGAAAAAAGAAAGGTAAATTTCTATGGTTGTTAACTGAAGTGTAAATATTTTTCATCTTAAAATCTCATGTAAAATGATTGACTTAACTTTTAAAATGTGCTCAGATACTATGATGATGGGCAAACCGTGAGATCCAGACTCAGGAGGCTGTGTTAGAGAGAAGATTGTTCAGCACGTGGGTGGCTCCTTTGATGCATAGTTCCCTGTTATCAGCAGCTCTGGGAAAAGCTTTATGTGGAAGAGTTCCCCCTTCTCAACCATGCCAAGACCTGTATTCAGGGAGCTGTGTATCCACATGCTTATTTCATTTCTCTAGAGTTGAGATTATTGATTACTCACATACTTAAACTCATGCTTAATTTCAACATCTTTGTTAAACTGGGGACTAATTCACTTACAGTCAGTGTCAACTTGTGCAATATTATTAAAAAAAACCACAAATAACCAAAAAGCAAAAGGGATGTCTGAGCTTAATACAGGCTTTAGGCATTCAAGTCCACTATTAAATCCAGCCCATAATGATAATGTTTCTCCTCCATTTCTTCTATGGCTTTGAGTTAAAATTGCTTAAAACACAGGCAAAACCATTAATTACCAAGGGCAACAGTAACAGTGGCAGTATATGACAGACATTGGTAGTGAAAGAAAGGTTCTGTAAATGCAACACTTTATTCAACATAACACACTACTTCAGCATAACTGTTGTTTTGGAAGCTTAACAGGTGTACTTTTGGAACAGCTAGTAAGTAGGGTATAGAATGACTTCTGATCCATATTATGCCATTTTCTCTCAGTTAGTTTTTAAATACTTTGGCTGAACAAAGATACCTTTCATCGTACTGTTCCCAAACAGCTATTTTTTTTACTGTGTGATGTTTCACAAGTTGATATCATGTGAAATCACCTAATACTGTTCACAGGCATATTTTAGCTCAGTAACAAAGAGTAGAAAATTGCGCATTAGAAATCAGAAAAATGAGCAGATGGACAAAGCTGCAAATATGATTTCAGTTTGATCTAATTAATTACCGAACTAGGAAGATTCTCTCAGTACCAGCATTTGCCAATGTTGCTCTGTGTGCCCCAGAGTATAGTCCTCAGGAAGGGCTTCTTTGGACTGATTGTATCTACATCAGCTTTCTGAATGAAAATAAACCTCCTTATTTTCAGAGACAGCCTCCAACCAGCCTTTAAAAAACAGTTGTTTTAAACCTTAAAAAAACAGCTGTTGGCTGTTCTCTGGTCTCTCATATTTATTATTATTATTTCTTTTTGTTTGCAAACTCTCATTCTATCCTAGCAGGATTTAGTTATATCCCGCAGTGGGACAGCAAGCCTCCAAGAGGTACAGGTTTACAGGAACCTGTTATGTCCCTTTTTCCAGCTGTGGGAAAGTGATTCTCAGGGAAGGGAAAATGAGTTGTCTAAAATCACACAGTGAGATTAATGATAGACCCAAGCATTGAACATTTAGGTTGTGGTCAGATGATCACTAAGATTGGATTTATACATCACTGGATCACCTGGCAACACAAATTTGGTGCAGACAGCCATGCATCCCTCTTGAATTATTCACAGCACATCAGATAGTGCTTATGTCAGCTGGTGCCCTGAGATAGCCCAGAGTACAATGAATCCCATATGCCATTCACTCTCATCTCTCAAGCGTAGTTTGGGATGATGGCCTGTTGCGCTGTGGTAAGAAAGTTACCTCCTGCTTATGGGGCTGTTACTACCACAGGAACAACCCTAGAAAGTCACCGTGTCACAAGTAAGGTGCTGTTTGCATGTCAGCACATGCCAGGACATCACAGTTTCCAGGATGCAGCAGGGGGGGCCCTGAAATTTACCCTATCTTGCCAGACGCTGGTGTTAGAAATGTACAGATGTAGTGTGCAGAAAATGATATTTCATGCTGGGCTGCAAGAGCAGGAAAGGGGGAACAGGAGACAGAAGTAATTGTTTTCCCAAAAGTTTTGTAATTGCTGATAAAACTGAGTACAGTAAGGGCCAGGCATTGCAGGTTCCTGTTCCCTGAAGCATCTGGGGCCGTGAGAAGAGCTATGACTACCAGCAGAAGATTACCCTTCAAATATGGGGAGATCAGCAATATGGGGAGAACTTGTGAAAGCAAATGTTCCCCAAAATCGGCTTGCTGCTGTTTCTCAGGAAGGTGCCCACTCAAGCAGTGGCGGTCACTGAGGAGAAAGGGATTTTACTTGTCTGGGAGGTGACAGCTCTTGACTCCGACAGAGTCAGAGGGCTCCGAGGATGATTAAGGGACTGGAAAACCTGCCTTACAAGGAGAAGGCTGAGAGACCTGGGGCTTTTGAGTCTGAAGAGGAGAAGACTGAGGGGGTATCTAATTAATGTC